AGTTTGGATATCAATTCTTTGGGATGTGAAAATCTACATCTAAATCAGATTTTTGAAAATTAATAGTCAAACTCATTTGACTCAATAATTTGAAAGAATCAAATCCATGTGAAATAAACCAATTCAATTTTTAATTATTCAATATCCTCGTGTTAAAATTAAACTCAATAGAATATTGATACTTAAATCTAGATAATAATAGGAATTTAAATAAACACGAGAATTAAAGAAACACATATTAAGATTAACCCAATTTCTGAATCAATTGTTATCAAATGCATACATTAATATCCAAGCAAGAACTTGTTGTTTTCTCAAAATCATGTTCAGGATTCTGTTAATTAATTTGACACTAATTATTAATGCTGATTTATTGATTTTGGAGATTTTCTTAAGAAAATTGTTATTTAAGATTCAAGATTTAAACGCGATAAGCAGATTGATTATTTCTAAATGATAAAGATTAAAGTTTAAGGTGATATTTGGTTATTTTAAGGTTTCAAGCTAATAGAATCACTTCATTGTTGTGAAACTTAACTTTTTATTAAATTTGTTGCTCAATTGGTTTTTTGGACATACCTTTTCTAAAAACCAATGCTCGAGAACACATTTTAGAAATTTTTGTATAAAATTCTTGATCCTTATCCTCACATTTTGACCTTAATCTAATAGCAAATCCTATTCACATTCTAGTTAATCAATAAAATTGCTATTCAACACCATAAATTAAAAATTCTCAAAACAATACAAACAAGATCAAAGAAAAAAAGTTCAAAAACATCGAAGTTAAGTTTATTTATTCTTCACTTATCGACATTACACGGATATAAAAATTTCATTTGTTTAATTTAAAACTTAAGAACACGAGAGAGAAAGAGAGAGCAAAAACCATGCACTTCCATTTCTGTTTGTTACGATAAGAATCAAGGCGAGAGATCGAAGATAGAAGAATGTGTTTACATAATAATTAATTATCGCAAAAAGTCTTGTTACAATAAACCCAATTGATTTATAACTTTGTGTATGTGTAAGTAAAAGCGTAATTTCCTGACCATAAATGATTTCATTATTTCTTCCATTTCTACGCTCATGTTTACTTCTTCCTCTTTTGTTATACACATTTTTATTTTGTGTAGCCAAATATAAGTGAAATAATAAATATGCGAAATCGTTATTACGTCTTGAGTAGCTGAATTCAAGTATGTTGAGTGTAATAGTGAATATCTTTATAATCCACATGTGTGAAGTCTATAAACTAATGATGATGGTTATGAAAAACGATGAGACATATGATTATGTCTCCTCCTCCATCATGCTTACTATCTTTATAATAATTTTTACGCTCATTTTCCATTTAACAGCTTTTCTCGCCACATCATAATGTGGAGATTTTTTTTCTCACTGTTTTATTTTTAGATCGTCTTGTCTTCTTTCTTTTCCTTTATTTTCTCTGTTATTCTCAAGATCAACTTCAAAATATGTAGTCTTGAACTTAAGTCTTGGAAAAAATAAAATTATTAAAATATTTCCATACATAAGCTGTCATCGTTTTATGTTAAATTTAAATACTTTTTATAAGGTGTAATTTAAGTGAAAATATCTTTTCGGAGAAATAATCTAAAGGAACCGGAAACAGTTATTGTTAGGTGCTCTATTGAACAAAATTTTGTTTACTTTTTCGAAAACATATTGAAATTTTCATTACTCGTAAAGCTTAAGAATTAGTAACTTTTCTTTTTGAGATCTTAATAAACTATAAAAGATATTTCATGGAAAACGAAGTACGTAATTTGACACGGAATTGAGAATAATAGCTTTGTGCTGAATTTCGATGAAGATTTTTTTACTATTTTTAATGCAATTTTTTGTTTCAAACGAATGTTGCTCAAATTTTTGAAAAAGAGTGAAAAAACTTTGTTTTTTGCAAACTGTGATATTTGAGGTTATTAAAACTGAAGCTTTATGACTTTTGAATGCTTAATCTGTTAATGGATATTCCGAAAACGAGGTCAGAATATTTGAAATTATTCAACATCATTTTGAAATGTTATTTGTGATGACATCATGGATGACATAATTATTTCATTCATCACTTCATATGCAACCCGCCTTTTTAGTTCGATATCAGTTTTATCGAGGTTGAAAGGAAGCCAAGCAAGGCTCATAGCCAGGGAGGATTTGGGTGACAAATCAACCAAAGTTAAAAGGATTTTTGTTTTCATTTTGGGTTTTAAAATACACCCCCCCCCCCCCCCCTAAGCCTTAATATTCCTGGCTACGCCCTTTGAAGCCCTGAGAATTTTTTTTGAGATATGAAAAAAATATCTCTGGACACCAACAAAACCAGAATGAGTGATCAAACCAGCTTTCCCAAAAAAAAATACAAACTAGAAAAACCAAGTCCCAATCACAATTACTTTCACACCATCCCATGATATATTCTCAAGCACTTTAAACCATTCCAGCAGAAACAGTTGAAAAACAAGAAAAAAAATCCATCTTTTCAAAGCAGTCATAAAAGTCATAACATGAATGCTTTTACTTCATCACCGGCGCTTTTGAAACATCTACAAAACGTGTTTATCTCCTTCATTTCTTTCAATATTTTTCTGCACTTTTCGTAATTTACATTTCCATATTGCTGATGATGCTCAATGCTTGTTAAAAACAGCACTCTTTTTTTTTCCTTTTCCTTTTTTTTTCATGCCATCATTGAACTTTTTATATAGCACACTACTTAGTGATGACGTGCGTTTTGCGAACAAAAAAAAAAAGTTCAACAGATCTACACAATACAACTTTATCGGTGTATGTACAGACACATGAGTTGTGCAGTTTATTGAGATAGCGCACACATATTCTCACCACTACACTTATATGACATGCGAATAGAAAAAAAAATATAAAACAATAATTGAAAGAGAAAGAAACTTTCATAAATAAGCAGAATTCTTTTGAATCTAAAATTAGATGTGGGGAGTAATGCGATGGAATGAGTGAAAATATTCATATAAAATAATTTTTTTTATCATTATTGAGTAAGAAAATGTAATGGAAAAATCTATTAAAAGACCAGATGAAAGCACTTCAAACCCTCAGCACGACAACGACCGATTATAATATAAATTAGTAAATTTCAAGGGGAATTGTAATTATTTTTGTTTCTTCTTCTCGGTTTCCGTTTGTGGATCTTTCTGTTTGCTCTTTTATTATTTGGAGAGGAAATTGGAGTTTTTTAACTTTTTGAAAGTGTTATAGCTGAGAAACATGAATTGGAATTGTTGATGCTTATTTGTTGTTCAATTGTAGACAAAATTGCTATTGAAAGTGCTTAATTATATTTTTTATGGTGTTTATCAAATTTATTCATTTCTCGTCTTTAACAATTATCAAAATTTTTGACTCGAATATCTCTCCCTCCTTGAAAAGCTCTTCTAGTATTCATCTTTCAAAAATATTAAAATTAAACGGGGTTAAATTTTGATCAAAAAGTGTGCTTTGAACATGGTTTCATTTGAAGTGTATTAGAGATTTTGTGCAAGAAATCGGTCCGAGCTGGATGTAGAGTATAAATGGTTGGTTGATTTTTAAAAACTTAAAGTAGGTACTCTATAAAGTGTTTATCCCAAAAACCTTACCAACCAGATCGGTACACATTGAAATATTTGCCACCCTGCAGCTGGGTCGATAGTATACTTAGCACCAACTGACAGCCACGTAGAAGCCATTTCAAACTGGACTTCCAATTATACTATTACCTCACATGCCGGGTGGCAAACATTTCAATTAATTTTAAAGTGTGTCGATCGGGCAAATTGATAAAAATTCATATTAAATGGAATTTAACGCTAATCGTTTACCTCCTTGATACTCTTTAATATCTATCAAAAATCTATTGGATAATTCAAGTATATTTTGAAGTATCTAGCAAAATATCCAAACCTAATCTTTTCACAATATTGTTCAGACTATATTAAATCAACATCAAGTCATTCAACACATAATGCAAATTCCAAGCTCATCATTTAAGTCTGTAAATTTGCGTAAAGTGGCTTTATCTACATTTTGAAGAGCGAATACTATTTAACATCACTTGAGAATTGCATTCAGAATCACATAAACCGTTTAGTCTTTCAAAATTATCTCGAGAACTTTTCACTCTTAAACTTCTTTTTATTCTACAATTAATCCATCTTGAAAAAGTGCAGACAGACATTTGTAATTGTAAAAAATAATGGAATTTCATACTTAAAAAAACCATCTTAATTAGTAATGCCTGTAAAGCTTTAAATCCATTCCATTTAATTTAGAGATTTTTTTTCTCTCATACAACAAGCATCTCGTATGGAGATTAAAATACGTGAGCCATTGCACTCATTCACAAGAATTTAATGCCATTTTCTTCCCTCGGTTTTTAGTACTATACACAAACATAAAAGAGAGACAGAACCAATGCATTTTTAGTATATATATGTATGTACATAGCAATTGGGGAGGAGAGGAATGAATGCTTTTTGTTGCCACACGAGAAAATAAATAGGTCATACAATGACGTCATTCCATCATGACCTAGAATCACAAAGTTTATGGTTGAAAAGCATAAGTTCAAAATAAAAAAAAAAAATATGGGAGAAATGCATTGGAATCAAAATAGATGTGAATGTGATTGTTAAAGGCATTATTTACGATCATGCATTCTTAGAATATTAAGGAACAAAGAAGAAGATAAAGAATCATTTACTGCAGGTTATTGCAGCATATTGTAAAGTAGAAAATTTCTGTTTTTGTTTGTTTTTAATTTCTCATTGTTGTCCACAGCAGCACACTTTTTATGCATTGTGAATGAATAACAAAAAAAAACATATAAATCTTTTATTTGTAAGGCAACAAAGAGCCTAAGTTATGCATCCTAAGGCGATAGTTTTTAATTATAAAAAAATAAGAAAAAATAATTTTTATTCATAAAACAATTTTTTTTTTCTCTTCTTTTTCTCCCTTTTAGGTCTCTACCCAAATTGAGCAGTCAAGAAGATGAAGGGGGGGCGGGACATCAGTTCGGTGGTGGTCTAAACCACTTCGAACCGATTCCACACGATCACGATTTTTGCGAAAGAGTTGTTATTAATGTAAGTTTTGACTAAGTTTGATCAATTTTTGAGTTACGAAAAGTGTTTTTTAGTGAAAATTTTTGAAAGTTCTTTAAATTTAGATTTTTTTAAAAGACGAAAAATTAATTTAACTAGAAATTACTTTGCTCTGTTTTCGTTATAAATAGAATGGAAGGTTTAGGATATTTTTTTAATGAGATAATTTCTAGTGGAATTATCTTTTTTGAATTTCAATAGGATTTAAAAAAAAATGTAAAAGTTTAATGAGAATTTAGACTCAATTTTCGATTCTTAGAATCACAGATGAATTTGATAAGTTTAAAGGAAATGTGTTACTAAGTTTAGATGATTTTCATTATTTAAGATCATTCAATTGTGTTCTCAATTGACACAAGGGTCCGTTTTGAAGCAACACAGAGTTTGAAGTTTATGTGGATTTCTTTGGCTGTTTCGTGGTCATCAAACTGATATGTTAAGCTATTGGAGACTTTTCTTTGCCTTTCTTGATTTGCATCCATATAAAATTCAGACAAATTAAATTTTCTAAAATTCCAAGAACACTAGGAATTTTATCAGCTTACGAATAGCAATTTCCTCAATTTATTTGCCAATATTCAATAGTTTATTCCTTAAAATAGCTTAAAATAAGACAAATTTTATTAGCTTTTTGGATTTAGCTTATTCCAAAAAATATAATCTGACTTCCCAATCTTAATCTTTAAGGTTAAATCAGTTCCAAAAAGATTGTTCCATTTTCTTTGATAGTTGTGTATTTTCTCAATTCTGAATCAATCAACCCGAGTTCTAGAATATCGAGATTCTAGTTTTAATGCATAAACTTAAAGTGTGTCAGTTTGTTTCCCGCCAAAATTATTGTCACTTATAATTTCGTCGAAAATATAATTCAAAACTACAAAAGCGGGTTTAACAATGAATTATAAAAGAAAATTTCTACCGTAAAAAGTTTGTTCATCAATTCTTAGTAGCACAAGTTTCTGTCGAAGAAAAAAAAATAGTTCATACTAGTCTCATTAGTCACACTTTTTCCTCATTTCATTTGCATTTTTAGATTAAAAAGAAGATCCATAAAATATTATTCAAGCACACTGTGAAAAAAAAAAAAGATTATAAAGTTTTAGAATTCTCCTATTTTCATAATTCTTTACCTCCGTCTGTGTCTATTTCTTTCTCTCTCTCTATACATATAAGTTTTTATGTCCTTATCTAAGTGTGATTAAGAAAAAAAGATTTTCAAATTTTTTCACGAAAAAAAAAATTGAGAAAGTTTAAAATCGACCTCCCTCCAAAATCTCAAACTTTTGTCCAATCCATTTCAACTTTACAGGTTAGTGGTTTAAGGTTCGAGACGCAGTTAAGAACGTTAAACCAATTTCCGGATACGTTATTGGGTGATCCGGAGAGGAGGTTACGATACTTTGATCCGTTGCGGAATGAATATTTTTTTGATCGGAATAGACCAAGTTTTGATGCGATACTTTACTACTATCAAAGCGGTAAGTTCTCATCACATGAATTTTTTTTAAATTTTCTTAGAAAATTTCTTTTTTATCTTTACATTAATTTTTTTTTTAAAAATATATTAATCTCATCTAGTTTAATTGAGAAATAAATTTTTTAATTATATTTTTTTCTTCATCATCTATTTTTTTTTCATTATCGTTCGAAAAAAAAAACATAAAAAAATTTTGGATGAATTTTTTTCAAACAAAAAAAAATCACAAAATTAAAAATAACTAAGGCGGTCGATTGCGGAGACCAGTGAATGTACCTTTAGATGTATTTAGTGAAGAAATAAAATTTTATGAATTAGGTGAACAAGCAATTAACAAATTCAGGTAAACTATCGTCCATTATTTGCATAAATTCCTCTCTTTTTTGACCTTATCCTTGGCAATGTTTCTCTCTTTTCACTTGATTTATAATTAATTAACCTAGAACTTTTTTTGCAATAAATTTATGTTTTTTTCTGTCTCTTTCTTTTACACTGCTTCCTATTCCTTCGCTTTAATCTTAATTTCTGCAATAAAAAATAAATTTTATTTTCGTACCTAAACATTATAATTTACATTTTGGCGGACAATACAGCAATACAGGCAGTGGTAGGACTGGAGATGACATAAATAATTTCTACTTTAACTATATGATACCACCCCAATTTATAGAACAACATGAGCAACGCATGGCGCAAATGTTGTAAATGAACATGAATAAGAACTACTTCCTACGTAGATATTTCGATACTCATGAGTATATTACAAATTATGTATAGCTCAGTCAATCAATATTTATAGATATTCAATCCTACTATTGCCGCTAGTTCCGCTTTAATGCTCTCTTATCGAATTATAGTCTTTTTACCTTTTTTTGTGTTTTATTCTTATTGCTATAATGGGAAGGTTTTGGCATTTTGAAAAATAATTTTGGATATATTCTATAATATTGAGGTGTTGTACACGTCTTGTATATCTTTTTATACTGAATCTAAAGTAATTTCTAAGGAATTTTGTCTTTCCTTTTAGTATCGCTATGCTTTATACCTCAAGGTTAGAGTTTTAGTAGATTGTGCATTTGTTTATTGAAAAATCATTACTTTATTGCGGGGATTTCCTTAGTATTATCTTGGTTTTTCTATGCGTAAAGATTTATTTTGAATAACAATTTTTGGATGGCACTACAAGTGAGCCTCTAATACAGATATTTTCAAACAATGCTCTGCAGTACACTATTGTGTCTTTATGAAGGTTGCCTCCAACCGTAAGGCTTTACATTAAATTTTAAATATATAGGTTTCAATAGGTTGAGAACCTCTGCCACGACAGTTTCAGCTGTTTTGAAGCTCAATATGGTTTAAGCAGACATTTAAAAAATTAACTTTGGCAGGAGTTGAAACTGTGTCCTTACGAAAGAAAAGTCATAAACTTCCAATATGCTTAGTCATCCAGATACACACATGTTAATCATTAACTTCTTGATTTTGTCTATTTTTGGTCTTGTAGCTAGTTTCTACTTTGCTGCAACTTCACTATACTAATAATACTTTTAAGCATTATTAGCTGTTAACATGTCCTTTTTTAATGCGTCTATAAAAACTGTAAGAACAGATTTGTATGTAATCTATTCATATATCCTTTCTACACTTACTCTATAAAAATTATAAAATGCAAAATAAGAGATGCAAAAATATCTGAAGTTTTAGGTTGTTTCTAATTTTGAAGAATTTTTTGATATAAGCCATACAAGTTCAGATGGAAAGAAATGATAGAAAAATGACCAAAAATTATTTTTCTAAGCTTAGTTTAAGCCACTGTAGCTTTGAATAATAAAATTCTGTAGTAAATTTTTTGGAAATCAATTTTTTCGAGGAATCAAAAGACAATTGCCAATAAGTGGAAATTTCTATAATTTTCTAAAATGTTTTAGTGTATGTTGCATCACTAGACACCAAAATTAAAGTCAGAACAATGAGCATACAATTACTTCCTATTTTTATCAATGAAAAAATTGAGACAGAAAAGTAAAAGCTCAATGTATTTTTTATTAATCTAACAGGTGTCCTGAATGTTTTAATTAAAGGAGATATAACCCACACAAAATGTTGCTTCATAAATTTATCAGAATAAGTACAGATTCATTAATTTTTTACCGGTTGGAATTTTTTTAAACAAAAATTAATTTAAAATAATCAATAAAAGTTGTCATTTTGGTTTAAAATGCTTAATTAAAAGAGTACGTAGATTTTAGAAGGTCCAAAATAAATTTTGAAAGTCAACATGGAATCGGAAATCCATGCTTCCCAAGTGATCAAAATTTTTGTAATATTTTGAAAAAATCCTTAAACTCGAACCTCAAAAGTAATCCAAAAAAGGCTACGAAGTGACACGACCTTATCTATTGTTCATTATTTTTATTGTTATTTTATTCCATTTGCTTTCTCTATCCCACCTGATTTTGGTTTCATTTTATCCAACTATTTATATGCCATAAATGTACTTTACCTGTCTATCCATCTCTCCCCTATCAAAATAAAAATATCTCTTTTATCCTTCATCATAAAGCTTCTTGCATTTGCTAATCTTCCAATTTTTTTTTTTTCGTCTTCTTGAGATGCCAAGACGCAAAACGAAGATTATTATAACAGTATTTGTAATCGAATTTTTTTCTCTTATTTTCTGTCTTTTTATTCCTTCGCATTTTCACTTGACTACCGAAAAAAAATCATAATGCAACAGAGAGGATGAGGGCTTCATTAAGGAAGAGGAGAAGCCTTTGCCTGAAAATGAAAACCAAAAGAAAGTGTGGCTGCTATTCGAGTATCCGGAAAGTTCGCAAGCGGCCAGAGTCGTAGCCATAATTAGTGTATTTGTTATTCTTTTATCAATTGTTATTTTCTGTCTAGAAACTTTACCCGAATTTAAACATTATAAGGTTAGATTCATTGACATTCATTTGATTTTTATATGAAACATTTCAAATAATTTAAATCCTTTACATTTTAGGTGTTCAATACAACAACAAATGGCACAAAAATTGAGGAAGATGAGGTACCTGACATAACAGATCCCTTCTTCCTAATAGAAACGATATGTATTATATGGTTTACATTCGAACTTAGTGTCAGGTGAGTTTGGTACTATACACGTGAGTGTGCAGCGCTTATCGACTAGCTAAATGTAATTAATATCGGATTAAAAATTAATTTTTGATATGAGGGAATTTGACAGTCGATTGATGAGGATGTGATCAAGGGGAGGAAACTTTTTGGAAGAATTTTTGAAAATTTAAATCCTTTAATTACTCAAAAGTTGTAATTATGTCGATTTATAATAATCATAGCCACTTACTTTGACCATACCATGATTATTCTTTACTACAAAAAAAAGTAGATGCTTGCAGATGGTCATGTTTAATCATTTGTAGCTTCAAACCTAGTAACGCAAGAGGAGAATCGAACAAAGATCAGGATTTCAGTGTCTTATCATTTTATTCATTTATATGACTATGGATTATCTCCAAAGAACCTCACTTAGTGTTTTAAATTGACTAAACTGTTAAAATTTATTTCTAAAGCCGACTACAACTGCATCAAATAGTTTCAATGACCAATAAAAGTGCATTAAAATCATACCTACATTCGCATATTACTTTAAGCAATAAAGTCCAAAAAACATGCATTGTGGTTTTTTACATAGTCTGTGCAGTACAAAATGTACTTAAAATTGTTCTGTCAAAATTATAAATTCGCAACTCCCTTGAACTGAATCACAAAACAAAGGTCAGAATTCCCAAATATCCGAAATTCTCAACTCAATATTTTACAAAATTTATTTCTACAGAAACAAACAAACATGCTCATTTAAACTTTCTATTGTTCTCTTTATTAAAGGTTCCTTGCTTGTCCGAATAAGTTAAATTTCTTCAGGGATGTTATGAATATAATCGATATTATCGCAATCATTCCTTATTTTATTACATTAGCAACTGTTGTCGCTGAAGAAGAAGATACGTTAAATCTTCCCAAGGCACCAGTTAGTCCACAGGTAATGTATTGTGTGTTTGTATTTCTATGCAGTTAAGTCAAAGAAAAATGATATTGCCGCATTGAGAATTGATAGCTCTTTATAAATCTTTTGTATCCCTTTTTTATTCATCCTCTATGCCTACATGATATTCAATAAAATTAATGTTTTAACTTATTTTTTTCTTCTTTATTCTTATTTTAGGACAAGTCAACGAATCAGGCTATGTCCTTAGCAATATTGCGGGTGATACGTTTAGTTCGAGTGTTTCGAATATTCAAATTATCTAGACATTCGAAAGGATTACAAATTTTAGGAAGAACTTTAAAAGCATCGATGCGAGAATTAGGCTTACTTATATTTTTCCTATTCATAGGTGAGTGCAGTTCCAATTTTTCCCATATGATTAATTTACATATGAAAAAAATTAAAAAATTTCCTCTTTTCATCTCAAAAAAAAAGTGAAAAAAAAAATCATTTCGTCACCTTCCTTAATTCCATTTCTTCCTCAAAAATGATCTTATTTGAATCATAAATTTTTTAACACTTTAAAATAATCTCATCAATCCTCATCACTAACCATTCGACAATAATTGAAAAAGAAAGGTTTGAATTCAACGTTGCTGATGTTAAATTTTAATCACAAACTAGTTATGTTGTTCGTCTAAAAGGAAATGAGAAAAAAAAATTTGACAGAATTTATAATTTTTGAAAAAAAAAATACTTTTTACAATTTTCTTATTCACACGAATAATAATTATTTAAAGGTGTTGTCCTATTCTCATCGGCCGTATATTTTGCTGAGGCTGGCACTGAAATGTCATTCTTTAAATCCATACCGGACGCTTTTTGGTGGGCTGTTGTTACAATGGTTGGTCTTTGAAACAAAATTTGATGAATATGTTTTTAATAATATTTTTTTTTGCTGAAAAAAAGTTAAAAATTGTAAACTTCAAAAATTCTTCTTTTACTTTCTTCTCCAAAATGTTCATTGTAGACCACTGTTGGTTACGGGGATATGAGGTACAAGTCGCAATACAAAATCTAAAATTTTTGGATTTTAATTTATCGAAAAAAATCAGTTCTTCTTATGATTTTTGAGTTTTCTTAATTTTCCTAATTTATTTTTTAATAATATCTTTTAGTTCCTTTATCCCAAGTATTAAAACTGATAAAAACGCAAAACATAGCGAATTGGATTTTAATAAAAAATTATAATTTTAGTCTTTGTATGCATTTGGTGATTTTTTTATGTTCATTGATGAAAGTCGTACTGTTTGGACATAGAGAACTGGAAATTAATACTTTTTTATTTTAGATCAAAATTTAATAAGATTTGAAAAATATTTATTGGAATAATTGACTTAGGTAATAAGATTTAAGGTTGTAATCTGCAAACTTAAAACAAATATCTTCAATTATCTTCTGAGACCAGGTTTATCCTGTGCACAATTTTTATAGTAATACCGAAGAATGTGCTAAAGAAACCGGCATCTGAATATCGTCAATTTGTATAGATTTGAACAAATATAGGAACTATTGAAATATAATATTCTCTGTTGTTCGAGACATTTGTTACTTAAAATGAGACCGTGACATATTAGACTCCTCCACAAATCTACAAAATTGTAAATTTTGCAGTTTTTAAGATAGTGTGTGAACCTTACGTATATTTCAATCACCTGAGTCTGGTATCAAGGCCTACCTAAGTCACCTTAAGGCAAAACTCGCAAAACTTAAATTCAATGTACTATTTATTATGGTATTTAAATGAAATTAATCTGAGACCAGGGTAAGTTGCTCCGGGGTAGCCCTAGAACTGTCCCCATGATTCACAAATTAATTTAAATTACTTAAGAAAAGACATCTTGGTACAAAAATCTTAATATTAAACTGTCTTGATTCTTAAAGGATTTAAGATTTAAAAAAAATCTACTTGTGATAATTAAGATTAGAAAGTTTAAAAGTTTTCAAACAACTCAAAAACTGATGATGACTCATTTTGATAATTTAGGATTTGTTGTTTGAAAATGGCTTTAATTTTGTTCATATTATTCTGAACCAATGCCTATTAAAAGCTCATATAAAAAGTTCCCTTAAAATAACTCCAAGATATTTATAATTGCATCAAATTTTATGTCAAATAAATATTTTTCAAATCTCAAATAAAATTAATTTATAATAATTTTTGAAAAATTTGTCGAGGTCAAGAAGTAAAAAAGTGGAAATCCTAGCATGGAAGTTTTTTACTTCTTATTGTACGTGTGAAAGGTTGTAAAACGAAAAACTTTTGAGTTGATTGTTGAAAGTTGTTTTTGATTTTTTTAAAATAATTTTAATTTTTTTATGTTTAAATGGACGTATAAATATTTTTATTACTTTATATTTATATATATGGCGATGATGATAATTCTTTACCTGCTAAACCTTGCGTATACTTTATTTACATATAAATATATATAAATATCTTTTATGATGTTGTCGATGAATTTTTTTTTTGATATTATAAATTGATGTTGTAATGATGTCGTTTCTCAAAGTATATATACATATATAAATATATATGAAGTATTCTTATCATGTATTTTGCATACTACTATATATTATACTTACTTACTCTAGCAGATGGATTATTCTTTTATTTACATTTTTAATTTTCTTTCCGTCTTCCTCTCTCGATCACACTGTCTCTGTCTCTCTTCCCTTTCTGTTTAATATCCAATTTTTCTACTTTTTCAAAAATCTCAAAATTTTCTCTTGAAAATTACTTCAAAAATATCTATTCACATTCTTCTACTGTGCTCTAAATGTTATGGTTTGGGAAGCAAAAGAGCAAACTTTTTATTGATTTATGTTCGAAATTTTGTTGCTAAAAGTTGTCGGACGCTATATGCTTTAAATTTTGTTACTTTATTTATATTTTTTAAACACACTTAACATATATGATATACACTGAATATTTACATTATTTTTTGAATTCCTTAAATTCTTCAGTTATAAAATTGAAAATTAATTTAAAAAAATTTATCCTGATGAGGGTATGGGAGTGGCTCTGGGTTTGGAATTATTGAAACTTTACTAGGTTGAAGACTTAAGGTTCATTATATAAAGAAGATTAATAACCTGGAATGAGGCTGTTTTGTGGCTATATTCGAGCAACGCTGGTGTTATTGTAATTTGTGGACTAAATGCTCATTAAAATAATATTTTATATTTTCCTGAAATATTGATAAGTATCAGTTTAAATGCCCTTTTGTAAAGAAATTAAATGTAATTTTGAAAATATATCCACAAATAATTAAAAACAAAAAAATCTTTAAAAATTGATTAAATAATTGCAAACCCAAGAGGATTCCCTTTACTCTCTTAATAATCAAAAATACCTACAATAATAAAAAAATTATAATTTCAAAACAACTCTTCAATAAGAAATAATCTGGAATACACAACAAATTGGCTTAAAATTTCCTGTAAATATGTACAAAGAAATTTGTTTTGCATGAGCACACACAGAAAAAAAAAATCTTTTCCTTCCTTTCAGATGATCTAAACATTTTCATATGTATGTCAAAAGGAAAAATAATTAAAAAAATACAAAATTTCATTTCAATTTGTCGAATCTTTAAATCAGAAAATTAATTTTCTCATAGACTAACATTTTTCATCCAAAACTCAATTATGCAAAAACTTCATCTTAACTCATTTAGCCATTAGAATATATCAGAGAAATCATCAATGTCACATTTTTCATCAATAATTAAATTTTTATTCCCGTTCAAATTGCATTGAACAAAACAAAAGAAAACAAAAACCAATTGTCAATGTCTATGTATTGCTTCCAGGCGTTGTTCTCTTCTCGTCAGCCGTTTATTTTGCGGAAGCTGGAAGCGAAAGTTCTTTCTTCAAGTCCATACCGGACGCCTTTTGGTGGGCCGTTGTTACAATGGTGGGATTTTGATCAACATTTTTTTAATGAACGAATTTATCAACGAACATTTTTTTTATCTCTTTCTCTCTCTCTTTCTTTTTCTTTCTTTTATATGACTTTTTTTATTTTTAAAAAATTTGAAAAAAAAATGTTGAAAATGTAATGCAACAACGTTCATCGACTTCTACTTGCCACCATATATGCGAAATATTAAAAAATACTTGAACTTAAAATCTACAGACGACCGTGGGGTATGTGGGGCATATTTTTTAATTATTATTTATTTATTTTATTTTTATATTTTTAACTGACAATTCCTAACCATTTCTCTTATTATTCTCTCTCTTTCTAGTTACGGTGATATGGTGGGATCTTTTTATAATTATAGATTTTTGATTTCATATTAAAACAAACTCTTTTTTCCCTACTTTCATGTTATTACATATTACCCTTTAAATTTCAACTGTTCATTGTCTTGAATGACAAAATGATAAACACGAAATCTTATGTGACTATATAAAATCAAAAAAAATACCTTTTTATTGCCACCATGAACCACCATCACTGCTATGAAAATGAATAAAAATAATTTAATAGACGTGGGTATCAATTTTGATTTTCATAAAAAAAATACTAAAAAAGCATAAATTAACTTTTTTTATTGAGCAAAACATTTGGTTTTAATTCGATTTGTTTTCATTTTGTGACTTTTATTTAACAATTTTTATAGTTATGATTTTTTACTGGGAAATTCTTCAAATTTAGAGTTTATGGCAGTTGATCACGTTGTTTTGACTATTTTTGGGTTTATATATAAATTAGGCTGAATATAGTTTTTAGGATGCTTTGACGAATTTCGAGAATTTTCAAAAAATGGCTAATTAGCTTCAGCCAAATTAGGGATTTTTAAAAACTTTTTTCTCAAAAAAAATTTTTCAATAAAATAAATAGTCGTTTTTGATTTGAAAGATGAAGCTATATTTGTGTGAAATACTAAACCAGGATTGACTAAGGTTCAATACTATTCTTTTAAGGATTTCCAAAAGAATTGAAACTTTATCTCTATTTAAAGTTTTAAAAATGACTAATATTTGGCTAGGTTTTGGCACACAAAACAATTCAGAAATTAAAATGAGATTTTCTGCTATTTTATATAAAACTACAGACTTTAAAGACATTCTTCTGCTTTTTTAAAAATCTAAAATAAATAGAAACTGAAAAATATATAGCAACGACAGGAACAAAATATTGAGATAACTGCCATAAATAATGAAATTTTATCAATTTTCTTAACCGTTTGTATTAACAAAGATTATTTAATCAATTCATAAATCAACAAATAATTTGAAAGAAAATCAAAATTCACTTAACATTTGAAAATTTAATTTTTTTATACCACCACACCACATCACTTGAATTTCTTCATAAATATTTTTGATTTATTTTTTAATCTCAAAATTTTAATTCAATTCACAAAATTCACATCAACTAGAGAGACAGTCAGATTAGCTGAACATAATCTGAAACTAGAATAGAATCACGATTTAGTCTAGTCGCGATTATAATCAAGAGAACAAAAAAAAATCCTTTTGTATTTCCACCCAACTTTATCTGACTGTGTCAACCAAATTCGCTTTTTTGCCATTAATTCAAAATTCCATTTGATATTTTATTGATTAAATTTCTTTATCATGCACTTGATGAATGAAAATTTTTTCATAATTTTTGAATTAATTCAATAAAATAAAACTTTTTACTACTTAGCATATAGAGAGAGTTTGTTCATAGCTTAATTGTTTATTACTAACATAACAATTGAAATTATTCGCATACACCAGAAATACATTTGCATTACATTTATATAGAATCATCAATTTTATCATATCCGATAATGAGTTTCAGCAGATGATCAAAAATAATAAAAATTCGTTGTGTTGAGGAAGTTTTGCCAAACTCAGAAATTAACTCAAACAAATTGGGAGATTTTTAATTTTCCTTTTATTCCTCATGACAAATCTGCTTTAAACTGCTATTTTTCAATGTCTTTGCTTTCTTAGCTTTATCTAATCTAAATTCTAAATACTTTTTATATTACTATTCAGCATGAACGTGTTTGTGTGTTTTTACTAATGTTTAATTAGGCATGGATGTTATTCGCTATAATAATCAGGATTGTATTGACTATGTATAATTGTGATTTTATCAGCAATTAATTATTTGGATTTTAATGTACACAAAGAAAATTTGATAATAATTCTTTAAAATTGGGAAAATGAATTTAAATTATTATTGATTATTTAAATTTAGATTGATGTTTTGGCCTTGCCAGGGATGTGATTGATAAGATTTAAACCTTAGTCTACTAAATTTATGACTAAGCTACTGAGTAGATAATTGAACAATTTAATTAAATTGAAATTAATCGTAGAATATTTATTAAAAATTATTGTAGAATTTCTTTAGGACAATGATGGCAAAACCATGTGCCGTAGCATATTAGTCAGGGACGTAGCTAGGTTTTTGCTGCTCAGGTGAAACAAAATTGTACTAGCGTATCCCAAAAAAATCAGGAAATTCCACGAACCGTTTGACATTCGAAATTCCGTCATAGTTTATCACAAAGAGTCCAGTGGCTCAAAAAGGTTGAGTTTTGGGACATTATAACATGGTTTTAAAAAATTTATTCTAGAATAAATTCAAAATTCAAAATGTATGCATTATTAAATTACAATCTTGGTGTACATTGGAATAATTCCAAAAAAAATGAAAAATCTGATAAAGTATATGCAACTAGTGAATGTATTGTAGTTTAAAATTATTTTTGAAAATAAATTGGTTTTGAAATCGTTTGTTTAAAATTTAAAAAATATTTAAATGAACGATTTTTTTTGTAATATTTGTAGAAAATGATGATTAAAGTTAAAGAATCAAGAATAAATTAGACAAAAGAAAAATTTGAACTTTATATTAACCAGAATAAAGGAGAATGAACCCAAACATCTAAAACTATCGTCACATTGCATGACAAGCATAACAGTTGTTAAAACATTCTTCATTTTAATCAAACATTTCAAAACTATTTAATTTCAAAAGATGTGTCATTCATGTATTCTCCATCTGAATTTCATAATTGCATGTAGTTTGGTGTGTTAAACATAACAATTCATTTATTATATGATTTTTAAAAAATCAGTTTTTAATTTTGTTTGATTTTAACTTAATTAATTTTAATTTTAATATCTTTGACAAAATTTTCGAAATTTTATCTCAAATATTATATCAATAAATTAAAATAAAAATTTTTCATCGACTAAAATCACACAGACCGGTTGGTGTGTGGGGAAAGATTGTTGGAAGTTTATGTGCCATTGCTGGTGTGCTGACCATCGCGTTACCTGTTCCCGTTATCGTGAGCAATTTCAATTACTTCTATCACCGTGAGACGGATCAAGAGGAAATGCAGAGTCAGAACTTTAATCATGTTACTAGTTGCCCGTATCTGCCAGGAACCTTAGGTAAGATTCTATATCCTTTTCTGCAACTGATTTCTAACTCTTGTATAAATTTAAATTTTCAGGTCAACACTTAAAGAAGGCATCACTTTCTGAGTCCTCATCGGAAATGGATTTGGAAGATGGTGTAGAATCGACGCCTGGCTTAATAGGTGATCAAACTCGTATTGTTCCGTTTTTAGGAGCGCATAATTTAAATGATAAGCAACAGCAGAACTGCTGTAAACCGAGTGGACAAAATCTACAGCAACGACACAATAGCGCTTTAGCCGTCAGTATCGAGACAGATGTCTGACTACTGGGTGAGTTTAAATTGGATATTTGGTGTGGGTTTTGTATGGGGGAAGGATGAACATAATACTAGAGCGACACAACATGGATAGAGGAACTAAAACGAGATGAAATAAGTCCCTTAAGAATTTTAAAACGGCATGTAACCAAAATGGTCCTGTATTCTCCCAAATTAAGGCTTCTTTGTCGCCGTACTAGCCTCACACTGCCTATAAATTATTCTTGATTTAATAAATTATCGAAAATACTAATATGATGAGTTTAACATCGTAATAATAGCTTTTAGACTAATAAATTTTACTATCAAATCTTTTGTAGTGAAAAGGACACTTCGCGCTATTTTCTGGCCACCATCTGATATTATACGCTGTCTCCCAGTCTCACCTAAAGCTGTTTGATCGCAAAACAAACATCGAGTTTTTACCTTAAAGAAACTTAATTTAATTAAGAAATTAATAAAATTAAAGAATAATTAAAAAAGTGAAAAAATTTTAGATAATGAAAAAAATTATTTATAAAAAAATTATCCTGCAAGAAGATGAAGGAAGAAGAAGCAACAAGGACAACACGACAAGAAGCAAGAAGAAGAAAAAAAACAAACAAAATGTTAAAAAAATTGAAAACGAAAAATACTCAAAAAAGTGAATAAGAATTAATTCATCCAATTATCAATTAATGAACTTTGTATAAAAAATTGAGAAATGTGAAATCAAGCATAATGAAGAAATAAATTACACAAAAGAGAATAGAAAACAAAAAAACGTGAAATTATAGAAGAAAAAGAAAATTCAAGAGCAACAGAAGAAAAAGAAGCCAGTAAAGTAGTTGAAGCATTAGGGGCATCTCAGTAAATCAAAAAAGAAGGAACTTTTCTTTCTTTTCCAAAAAGGAAAAACAAAATTTAATTTAATATCACAGTGAACAGAACAGCACCGAGAGTAAAAATCCACAGTATACGCTCCTTATTATAGTTAGACATCCAAAAAGAAAAAAAAACTCTAACTTGATGAAAAGCTTTGCATAGAATTTATAATAAATTTAATAACAAAAAAATTCGGTCATTGTAGATTAAAGAAAACAAAAAAAGTCAAGCTGTAGTGGCGTATTTGAGGATGAAATGAAGAAAATAAAAACTGCCTTTAATTTAATGCTCTGAGACGCTCCTCCTTCAAATGAAATAAAAAAAATCTTTTTAGACATCCACATACATATACACACAAAAAAAGATGAAATAAAGCTCATTCATATTTACATAACATACCTTTAAAAAAATGAAGAAAAATAATAGTGAAATTACGCTTGGGACATGATGCAAGTTTAAAATAATAATAAAAAAAAATTTAATTTTTTAAAATTATAACGGGACCGACTTAGACTGTTGATCGGATGTTGTTTTTGTAAATATGTAATGAAAATTTTATTTTTTTTTTAAACAGATGAAGAAAAAATTTTTGTACAATTTTTAAGTTTTTTGTTTTAATGATTCGGCAATATCGATCAAAATAATTAAAGACAACATTCCAAGCGACTCATTTTATCACTGCTATGAAATTATTATCTTAAAAAAAATTGTTTGAAAATTTGTTGATTATGCCGTTACTATTTTCCATTGTTACTAATTCTGTCTTTATATCAGTTGTTAAAAGTTTCTTTGTTTTTGAGAAGTGGTGGATTGTTATTGAGCTTTAGGGGATTAATGTGATGAAAAAATGTTTTCTTTTGACTTATTGCTTTAGTTAAACAGTTGAACTAGGTCTGTATGCGTTGAACTAAGGTCGACTATATTCAACTATGTTTGACTATGTAAGAATATGTTCGACTATGTTTCATGCAAAATTTGAAAAGTAATCTTTAAATATTCGTTTTTTTTGAATAATTGTTTGCTATTAAGGTGAAGGTTGCTCGTATTTGGCCATTATAGTGTTTAAGACCCCTAGCAAATAACTAAGATCAAAAGAAACTTTTTTCTACAATAAATTCTCCAAAGCTCTGTAAATTCCCTACCACATTATTTTAAATCAGTAAAAAAATTAATCTAATTTAATAATTAGCGAAAAAAAAGTCTGTCTCAATTTTCAAAAACTATTTCTCTTTAAAAAAATAATTGAAAAAAATTTCATAAAACTTATTTATAAATTTTTCTAATGCCCCCCATTTTTACTAAAAACTATTCTCAAAAAAATCGAATTTTTTTTTCTCTAAAACTCATTAATTGTAATTAAAAAAAAATTTCACGACTGAACAAAATTTTTCTAAAATTAAATTAAAAAAATTCTCTTTTCAACACTTGTATAGAAAAAAATTGAGAGGAGATTATCAAGGTAATGGCTTATTAAAAAAAACTTAGTAAAACTTATTGAAGGTTAGATTAAAGTATGGATGGGCAAAAGCTTTATGGAAAATAATAAAAAAAATAAAAATTCTAGTAGATTTCAATTCTGAAACTTTTTTTAAGTTCAACTCATGCAACTTTGTTCCGTCAAAACTTTTTAAAAACATAAAAAAAAGACCTGCCAAAAACTGACAAAACATTTTATTTTGTAGCTCGTCTATGACTAGATAATTCAAAAATTTTGTAGAAATTATTGAGGTCTGCATGTCCTTAATTCATCACATATTATTTGCCCATATGCCTAATTAAAAACTTTACATATGAAAAAAAATTCTATTGAGCTTTATCACAAAACAATGAATTAAGAAAAGAAAAAAATTTCCTTTGCTACAAAATTTTCTAAAAAACAAATATTCACTGAAAGATTTTTAAATGCTACAATTTAGATACAAAAATAACAAATCATGGATCTGCTAAAATACTCACTTAAAAAGAATCCGTCTTGGCTGAAAAAATACTTTTGTTTATTCATTTAGTTCTTCTTTGACTAATGAAAGACTATCTTTCGAGCATATCATAGAGATGAGATAGAATTCCTTCGAGATTAATACCAAAAAGAAGTTAATAGTGTAAAAAATGAGAAGTGTGAGTCTAGTCAAAACACTGGAAACGTAATCAATGACCAATAGATAATTATACTTATTTCCAATTTATCAATCAATCAAGATGCAATGCAAGAGAGTTATAAATTTATTTATTATCCCAACAAGGCAGTCTGCATGTTTATTAAGTATCTATAAACATTTTTTAGTTCTTAATAGACTATTTGACTATCTATGAGGGATGTAGGCTAGACAAAAGCATGGTCAATGACATTTATTGGTCGTTAAAGCTTGGTTCTTGTCTAGTTGACACTTTTTTCTATTCCTTTTAATTAAGACATAAAATTCTGTTGAAATATTTTGTCTATTAAACTTTATTGACACATTTATTTTTATCTACACACAGAATTATCTGATAAATAAGCTTACAACAATCATTTCAAAAAATGACAATTCTATTAAATTGAATTTTGGATGAGTTTTGAGTATTGAAGAATTTTATGGAATAATTTCGTTGCCCAAGTGAAGTTTCTAGTCAATGCAATAGTTGAAGTGAGATAGAATCTTTTTTTTCAGTGATAATGAAGTTTGAAATCATTAATATCATAAAATTAATTATTCCATGGGTTGAAATTTCGGTTGACTTTCAATCTATTCAAAAATCTTCAATCAAAAATTCTAGGGGTTAATAAAGGTTTAAAAAATCTTCTTCAACAAGAGTTTGACAAAAATTTAAAATGATTTTGATCTTTAAACGTTAAATTGAATCTAATCTATGATTTAAATCATAAATAAAAAATATTATTAAGAACATTGCTCCATATAATGAGTATTTAAAGTTTGCAAAGCTTTGAAAGGTTAAAAAAATATTTCCATAAAATGTCAAACTCAAAATTCACATCCAAAATTAAATTCAATAATCTTCCTACTTAAATATTTTATCAACAAGAACCTACATATAATTTAAAAATGAAATCTCAAATTGGCATTTACCAAAAGAATTAATAAATAAAATTACTGAAAAAAAAATCGATCAATTTGTAGCAAAAAGTTTAGTTTAAAAAATTGAAGAGAAAAAAAGATGAAGTAAAAAATCCAAGAAAAGTATGAAAATGGTAAGCGAAATTAGGAAAAAAAATGAACAAAAAAAACTCTTGCAGTCAGCCTGAAAATATTCTAAGTTTAGTTTAGAAAGTGAATATATTTTCTAAAAAAAAGAGTTAAAGTAACAAAGTAAAAAATGATAATTAAGGAGTATATTTAAAAGAATATATAGTTCAAATTGTGATACGTTAAGTTAGATGATCCATTAAATGAGGTTTAAAAAATCTGAAAAGAAAAACGAAAAAAATGATGAAAAAATTTTCTTATTTGATTGAAAACAAAAAAAGAGAATAATAAGAAAAAAAGAACAAATAAGTTTAAATAGTTTAATTTTTAAACTCCAAAAATTAAATTTAAAAAAAATATTAAAAAAATCTACACAAAAATTCGGTGCATGAAATTAATAATTTAAGAGATAAAAAAGTGAAAAAATTATAATTATCATTAAAAGTTGTATAAATGAAAAAAATTGAAGGATTGATTTTGCTGCATATAGACTAGGTATGTTATTATTATATTTTTTTAAATTACAAAAAAAAATGTCAAAAATTACAAAAAAAGTCCGCTTTGTAAATTTTGTAAAATAGCGTTAAGAAATACCGTAAAAAAAATATGAAAAAAAGTAATAAAAAAATGAAATCTGTTCAATGCATAAACGTAAAAATAATAATAATGACTAATTTAATAAGAAAAATTATCCATCGATATTAATAAATGAAATGAATAATGAAAAAAATGTTATCTCCATTTTGACAAAGAAAAAAAAAACAACATCAAGTTAAGAAGAAAATCATTTTTTAAATAAAAAAGGCATCAAAAAAACTCACTTACTCACACATAATTAAGGAAAACTTTAAATTCATAAAAGAACTGCTTTACCTTCTAATAAAAAAATGACAGACGCTTACTTAATTCATCTCATGACAATGTAAAATAATGATCTTTTTTAAAAAATTGAATTGATAT